TTATTCCGCTGATTTAGTTGTTTCGCTGCACATAGAACACGTTGCACTACACAATTGACTCGATCCCCTTCTTCCTCAGCTAATTTTGCCCTCTCGTAATCTTCCTGATTGTCATCCTCAAGACTCTGCTCGAACTCACCATCTTCTTCCACGCCATCTACTATTCCAACCGGTTTGCGTTCCGGGCACACGTTAGATCGATGGCCAGGCTTGTGGCACCTATAGCAAAGATCTGTGGCTAGTCTCGCATAGGGGTTGTTGTTGTTAGGTCGAGGTTGGGTTTGGTTGCTCGAACCGGCTGCGGTGCCCAGCTTTGTCTGCACCCATTGTGGTCGCGGTGGTGGGGTATTAGGAGTAAGATTTTGCCCTCCCGATTTACCTTTGTCAACAGGTGGAGTATATTCTAGAGTGGATCTCCGATAATTACTCGCGCTCTTCCGTTTCTCAAATTCCTCTACTCGCAACGCCATACTCTGAGCCTGATCAATGGTGTAAACTGCTTGCAGACCGATTCGATCACGTATATTGACCCTCAAACCGTTCAAATATCGTGCCATTTGTTGGTTCTCAGACTCTCGCAGATTATTGCGATCTGCCAGACGCAAGAATTCAGCTGTGTATTCATGCACCGATCTATTACCTTGCGAACAATTGTGGTATAAGTTGTACAGGTGTTGCTCGTAGTCGGATGGTAAAAACCGATCCTTCATTAACCCTTTCATCCGCCTCCAAGACTGTACAAGACATTTTCCTTGCCGGGCTCGTGATCGTTGTAATTGCTCCCACCAAACGGCTGCCCCACGTTTAAATTTATATGCGACCACCTTAACCATTCTTTCCGGCGGTGTCTCCATTACGTCGAATGCTCTCTCCACCTCGACAATCCAGTCCAAAAAGTCCTCGATGGAAAGATTCCCGTGGAAAGGGGGAATTTCCGCCGTTATTCGATAATTGTCTTGTCTCTGTCTGGGCTGATCTCCCTCTATTATCGCCAAATCATCTTCCTCTGACTCTTCGTCACTTTCATGTTGAAGACGAAGCTGATTTTGATTCTTAACACGTGCGCCTCGGGCCATCTCCCCAGCGCGGGCCAGGTTAGGCTCGCCCTTCCTGTTGTTGCTATTGAGGGCAAATCCCCCTAGCAATTCCCGAAGTTGCCGCAACTCACCTCGAATCTCTACTCGAAATTCCTCTATAGCCTGTCGAGATTCTTCTCGAGCGAGCTCAACTGCTGCCTGAATGTTATCAACCTCGAGGTCATCGCCATCGCGGTTGTCGTCTCCTTGTTTCGCACCTTTAACCATCTAACCAGGAAAAACCTCGCTACTGATGCCAACTGACGCAGAACGGAAGCACGGTAAAAATTAATTTCTACGAATTAATCTATAGAACAAACGAATTCCGGAATCCACCAGAAAATTGAGAAAAGAACTCTCGATTTTATTGATAAGAAAAAAAATTTAACGTGCTAGAAAATAAACCTACTGGATCTATATATAATACGTAAAGCAAGAAATCCTAATTAAACTAGAAAATTGAAAATTACGATAAAATAGAACTCAAAATATACTAGGACTCTAACTATAGGAAATTGAAAATAACTGAATATTAAACCTGCTAGGACTCTAATCCCGATGGATTACTTGTCCCTTATCAAAATCATTTTAGTTTTGCAATTGATCCTTAAATCATATCAATTTGTTATTCAAACATGTTTCTAACTTTTTAAAAATTGCAAAATGACCCATAACGTGTTCGACAAATGTCCTTGAGTGTTTGAGACGAAACACATCTGAAACACGAAAATGTTAAGAAGTTGAAGTTTCCTTGCTACATAAGTCAAAATTCATAAATACAAATCCATAAACCGATTACAAATGAACAGACTAACTAAATACATAACAGAGCATTATGATATACGAGCTAAATCATTTTGACTCTGATAATGAAAATTTGAGACTATGAAATATTTCTTGTTTCGAGCAAGCCAAATGCCTCTAACAAGCAGCGCAACAAAGCCCAACAAATCCTTGCTTAGTCGGTTTTGAACTTTTCGCAGCCGGTGAGTTCTGTTGACAAATCGACATTACAAAATCATATTTAAAAGTCCTCCTTCAGCCCAAACTTGATGTGCCAAAGTACAGTGAAAAAAGAGCATGCATGCTCAACAATTTCCGCAAACAGGCCGGGCAATTCAAGGGGATGTTAATCCCTCTACTTAGTAGATTTTGAGTTGTAGGAAGAATTCCCAATGCCATGGGCGAGAGGAAGTCCAGATGAATTACATTTGAAGTCTTGCACTTGAAATACTTGAAATGGGTGGCGGTGGGATTTGAACTTAGGACCTTTTCATTTGGTCTAACTCTGATACAATGTTGAATGATCATCTCAAACAAAAGCTTAAGTTGTTAGTGAAATGTATCATTTAATATTAACATCTCCAATAAAACAGATCTAATTCTAACAACCGGAACAATAACAATGAAAATGTGATGCGATCTCTTGAGTATCATAAATATTTCCTACGAAACGTAAGATCTATTCTTTAATATTTCTCTCTTCATAATAAAACCCTAGCACAATACGACTATTTAAAGAGAATAAAACCATAGAATCCTAATCTAACTAGGAAACATAATTACCTATACTAATTAAATACTTAATATATATCCTAAACCTAAACACACGACCTTATATATATTATAAATATACTAATCTAATTAATTAATAATAAAATACTAACTAAACAATTAATTAAATAATATATTAAATAATAAATCGTATCAAAATGGCCCCCTCTTTAGTGAGATTATATGAGCAAATGTCCGAATTCCAAAATATATTATTGCTATGGGAGCCTATACAATTAGAGGACAAATGTTCAGTACCGATCCTTATAGTACTGTCCAGGGAGTCAATAAACTAATTCTTGTGGATGTTTATTTACCAAGTTGTCCCCCTAAATCAGAAGCATTTATAGATGCTATAACAAAACTTCGTACAAAATATCTAAAGATAGAATTCAGTCTCAAGAAGCAAGTCGGTGTATATATGTTCTACGACCAATCACAAGTTTCATATTGAACGCAATATGAATATTGGAAATTATGATCGAAGATTCCTCTATCAACCGCCATCTACTTTGGAGATCCCTATTGAAACCTTTTTTTAAATATAATACCTTCACTATTAATAATTCATAGTAACAACTTCTTAGTGTAAACATGCCATTGGTCGAATGACTCCAAAGAAGAATATCTGAACAATGGATCGGAGCTCCAATGGTATACGCATAATTCGTTCACGGTTCACCATTTTTAAGAAGGGAACGGATTTTTGTTTTCGTCCCAACAAAGCTGTGAAGCATCATTATAAAATTCCGATACTTATATATCTCCCAAATCAGCAGGTTTTCGAGTTATTACACGCGAACAACCGTCTAACGGAACCCATTGATATATCGTCCCAAACTCGAATATTACATCCATTACCCACCTTCCATCTCATACCTTAAATATAGATGTATATTTATATCTAGTGATATGTTAAAATAGTAATTAACAGTGAAAAAAATTAAAGTTATATATATTGCAAAAATAATTTTACCGACCCCGGACATAGTTTTGGAACAAAGTTATTTTTTGTTTCAATTTCTGTAAATTTGGATTTTTCGAATTATTTTTTATCAGAATTGGAAAGTATATGATATTTCAAATTTCGATCCGATTTCAATTTTTGAAATAATTCCGAAAAAAAATCATTTTTTTTTACAATTATTATTACACTTAATAAAGTTAATATTATTATCTATATATTTTATATTATAAGTGGATAAAAACATAAAATTTTGTACGCCCGAAAAAATTCTAATTTTGAAATACGTTTTTAGTTTCAACTTTAAATTCCATTTATTTTCATATCTTGAAACGAGATTTGAATTAAATTATAACTTTTTAAAAAACACAATTTTTCGAAGAGATGATTTTGATTCATTCTATTCGATTTCCACACCTAATATCTTTTTGCCTGAATAGGCAAGAAATATACCTTTATCGCAAGGAAAAATAATATGGCACTTCACTTCTTGAAGTAAAGTATTTTTGCAAAACATTACAGTTTGATTCGATTTTTTTCTAATTTTTTTTAATTAATTGCATTTATTTAATTTTATTTAAAAAAATACTAAATTCAACTTTTAATATAAAAAAAAAAAAAACGGTAAATTTGATCGAACCGTAACAAATAAAATACTTTTTTTTGGGAATTGGAATAACAACATATTCCAAAATTGCAATCAAAAGTTTCATTCTAATTTACCTCTTCAACCGTTAGAATACATTTTTTTGTTATAGCTAAATTTTAATTATCATTTTCATTTGAAAATTAAAAAGATATATTTAAAACGAATAATATAATGAAATAGATTGTCACATTGAAGGAGATTTATAAATGGTTTTTAGGATTATTTTTTCATCTTATTTAGTATTAAAAACTATAAATTTGTCCACAGACATTCTAAATTGTGCTAACTTAAAATTCAAATTTTAAATATTAACTCAATCACAATGTAATTGTACATTTATTAAAAACATTAAGTGAATTAATATTAAATGAGGTATTTAGTGAATGAAAACTAGAATATTTACATATAATAAGGGACACCATAATTATTAGTGATGAGTATATTATTTAAAAATGAAATTTAAAGTACAGATAAATAAATATGATATAAAAAAATAATCCTACTGCAAATGAAAAAAATTATTCTATTTTTATTTTTTTGACCTATCAAATAAATTTTTGCTCTAATCCACTAAGATCCTAAATTAATATTAAACAACACACAAAGTATCTACCTCAACATGTCACAGATTTCTTACCCTATAATACCAATTATTTATATAATATTATAAATATTGCATTAATCAATTCGTAAAATAAATAAATACAATATTAGAATTTCAAAATTTCAATTAAAAATAACAAGGAGATTAAAATAAATCACAACAAAATATTAAAAACAAGAACAGAATTTCCAAAACTAAATTAATTCTTGAATTTGACCAACAGTCTGTAACATCAAATTTTACTGAAACAACAACAGTACTTCTAAAACAAAGCCAAGAAAACTCCGACCGCCGCAAAAACACCGCTCAGAAACCCGACATTCAGTGCAGCAGCGGCGGCACGGTGAGGCGCCGGAGCCGGAACATGGTGGATGCTATCACCCGCCGCCGCGGGAGAAGGCTGTGGAGCCGCCGGAGGAGAAGTGACGTGCTTGGGAGTAATAACCCTAATCTCGATCTTCTGCCCCTTCTCGCAGTGGCCTTCGGCGCCGCTGATGAAGTAGAACGGGCCCGATTTATCGAACGTTATCTTCGTGTTTCCATCGTTGTACGTTTTGATAGGGTTTGATTTGTTGCAGTTCTTGTAGTCTTCTTCGCTCACTTCCAGCACCGAGTCAACTTTTCCATCGTACTTCATATCTGCACCAATTAAAAAAAACACAGTTAATAAAATCAAGAAAAAAAAACACACACACACACACCCACATGTGTGTGTGTGTGTATATGTATGCATTTACCGATGGAATCGCCGATTTGGAAGCGCTTTTTGGAAGCCCAATGATTGTACTCGTTTGGATAAGATGGGATTTTCCAGGAGCTTCTCCTCCCACCGATATGGAAGTCTTTTGCTTCTGAGAAGCTGATCACGAAAAGCAGAAGTAGAGCCAAACAGGGAGCAAGGGTTTTGGAGGAAGCCATTTCTAGAGAGAGAAAGTGAGAGGATTAGGGTTTCAAGAGAGAGAAAATGAAAGAGATTTTTGTTGGTGTGTAGAGAATGGATTATGGCTGGTGCCCATCTGCCAATATATATAGAGAGAGATTAACAGATTTCTTTTTTGGTTTGGCGTGGGGCACGTGATGGTCACGTGTTTTTTACTGATAAATTTTTGTTTTGAATTTTGGAACGTTGAATCTGAATTTTACTTGGAGGGTATTTATTAGGGTAAATTACGAAAAATCCCCTGAACTTAGGCTAAATAATAAAAAATACCCCCACGTATTCGTAATAACTAAAATTCTCCTCTAATTAACTGTTGATCGAGTTTTTTAATAGAAAATGTGTACAGTTTATTATACCTTCTGTTAAATAGGTGAGAAATAAAAGAAAATATCTGAAATTGTGTAAAGGTTATTCCCTGGAATAAAAAGAAATCCGTGAAAAGTCACGCTATAAGGAGTTGGTGTAAGATGGAAACAAACTTCAGGGGATTTTTGGTAATTACGAATAGGTGGGGGTTTTTTTCGTTATTTAGCCTAAGTTCATGGGGGTTTCGTAATTTACCCAATTTATTATTTTTATTATTTATTTATAATAAAAATAATAACAAAGACGTTTCGTATGCAATTATTTTTGTGATTTAATTTGAAAAAAATGGAAAAAGAAAAACGGTGATTGGTTAGAATGTGAGAATAAAAAGGCAATTCCCAAGGAATTTGAAAATAGAGATGTTGGAAATAAACGAGGAGGATTCTTTTAATGATTGTAATTAATTAATTAATTACTAGCCCATTAATTGACAGCTAATTAATTAAATTTACATATTATTATCGAGTGTTATCCAGTGGCTACATATAGAAAAGGTAAAATTTTAATTGCTCCAATTTTCGAAAATAAATAAATATCAATAAAATGAATTTCTCCAGTGAATGCCAAGTTGTTAATTAACATTTAAGGGGAATAAACAGCTATATAAAATTAGTTGGAAAAATACTAATTAAGGGATTAAATAAAAGTTTTAAAGAATTATAATATACATTTTCTGATTTGCTTAATAACTACTTTAAGAAAACATTTTATTTACAAATCACAAATGTCATCAAAATGTATAATGTATATTGGATTTTCATCGAAAGAGATTATATATTTAAACAAAACATGATAGCAAATTTTCGAAATTGAATATTTTAACAAAATATGATTGTAATTTTTTTTTTAATGAAACTGAAAAATGACATCGAATTTCTGAAATTGACAGCGAACTTATGTAAATTTTCGGAGAATTCAATAAATTTATGATAATTGAGTATTTAACAAAATATGAATGTTAAGTTCCGAAAAATAACAGTGAGTTACGGCAATACGATACTCCTTCCTACCCATTTTATTTGTCACCCCTAAAAATCTATTTGTCATCTTTTACAATGTAGTGCATTTTTTTTTCAATTTTTCCCTTCATCTCTCTGAATTAATTGAAAAATAATTAGCTCAAAATGAGATAATGGCATGGGTGTTTTAGTGATATTCTATGTTTTTTATTACAATTATCCACACATATTTATTAAATTTCTTAATATATCCATAACAAATAAAAGTGACAATTAATAAGAGAATAATGGAGTAAGAAACTTATATAAATTTAGTGAGAATCTCCAATGAACTTATAAATAGGGGTGGCAGTGGGGCCACGTGGTCCGAGCCTTAGTAGCTCAAACTTAAAAACCGCCGGACTTTACGATTACAAACTCATCCTCAAACACCATTCGGCTTTGTAGTTATAGATTCAAATTCAGCTCATGTAATAATTCAAGTTTCGGGTTTAAAGTAGACTCTAATTTTACTTATATAACTCAATTTCTACAATTTCAAATTGCATAAAAATGAGTTTTTTTATGAATATTTTTCTTTCTAAACATTTGCAAATAAGAGAGATATCTTGAATAGTTGAAATCAATGAAAAACGTCAATATCTGTTGTTAAAAAACTTTTGAATTCGGTAAATTGTTTTAAATATAAGCTTGAAAATAACTACAATGGATGAATTGTAAGTTCAAAAATTCATTTATTACTACAGTGTTTTTGTCCATAACTATTAATTTGTATAAATAAATATTAATAATTATTTTAAATAATAAATTTAATAAATGTTTAAATTTCTTATTGAACCGGGCTTTATTCAAGCTAAGGCACAATAAGCTCAAACTCGGCTCATAAACTTTTAGCGTTTGATTAAATGGCTCAAACTCGACCGCACTCACAATTAGTTAGGCATGACTCAAATAAAATCGGACTGAAGAATCAGACTTTGGGTAGGCCCAACTCAATTGTTGGTCTTGAAATTAAAGTTTAGTAATTTAACACAATATGATTTGAACTTATACAAAATGGCAGTGAACTTCTGGAAAATTTGGTGAGAATTTCCAATGAACTTATTGAAAATTGAGTATTTAAAAGAAACATTCACAAACACACACACACACAAAAACCAAAAATGGCAGCATCGTAGTTTGCTTCAAGGGGATTCTCGAGCGCGGAAAATGATCCAATGAATTTCAGATCGTAAAACTGGAATTTACGGATTTTCCTTCCCAGTCTCATGGGCGATGATAGCGGCAGCGTAGCTATCGACGCCTCCAGTTGAATGAATCGAACAAGAGAAGCGGCAGTGGGAATTCAAAGCGGTGTGAATATGCAATTTTTTTGCCAATTGATTTTCACATGTTTCAGGCAAAGAAGATGAAGAGAGAGGAGAGAGAAGAAGATAGAGAGAACCATGTCATAGGGGCAATTGTGTTATTTTACATAAAAATTACTATAACAGCCGCACAATCTCGCTCGCGTCAAGGGGGACTTGCCTTCGACTACATTACACGGGCGTTTTTTTGCTAGTTTATTAATCACAAGGATTTTCTACTATTTCAAAATTACACAAGGGTGCGGTGCTTTTTGCGGTTTACTCAGATATATATATATATATATATATATATATATATATATATATATATATATGTAATGCTGATATAAATAAACTGCATCAACCGAAACAATTCACCTTTATTACCAAAGTAGTGAGATCACAGATGGGAAAGGTTCACAAAACAGCCACAAACAGACTTACGTACTAGTCCACGGAACACACATGCAGATAAACAGTCAACGAAAAACACACATGAAGATTCATTCAACTTAAAAAGTCTCGATTATTAGAGCAGTCAATCTCATTTTGACTCATTTAAGGAGAGTCTTGACAATGGACTTGACGTTCAGCTTCTTCAAGTCGGTGTACGACTGCCCACATCCGACAAACATCACAGGTGCTCCCGATATGTAAACCATTGATAATGCAGCTCCCACCTAATAAAATATTTTGTCATGGTTAAATAAAACAATTTCAATTAAATAAGCATTAATTAAAGAATAGCCCAACAAAAGAATCAAAAGGTATAGTTTTTACCTTGTCATCGATTGTGTCAAACTTTGTCAGTAGAATCCCGTCAATCAATCTGGGATCCGGTGAGGGCGAAAGATCTCCTAATTTCTGCAAGAAAATTCCGTGTCACTAAGTGCACATAAAGAATAATCATACAATATTGTGAAAAAAGAAAAAATATATATATATATATATTCAAGAAACCTGATTAAATTTTGATAACTGATCTACAGCATCATTCCCCACAAGTGCCTCACCGACAAACAAAATCAGATCTGGACTGTTCACATAGACAAGCTTCGACAGAGCTCGCATCAATGGTTCGTTATCCTGCAAACCACATACATAATTTAGCTGTAAGCAAAATATAACAAAGATTCTAATACAAAAACGTATGGTTAAAAGTAGTTCACTAACAATGTTAATAAACCAGAGAAACGTGCAAATTACCTGCATTCTTCCAGCTGTATCAACGAGAACAACATCTGAACCATTTCGACTGGCCTCCTGAATTGCTTCTTTTGCGACTATTGCTGGATCTTTCTCGTAACCCTTCTCAAAAATTGGAATCTGCGGATTTTTTTTTCGTGTAAATTAGAACTGCTTCAGAGAAATTAATATCTAAAAAAAATTAAAATTGTAAGTTTTTCACGTATAATACCTGCAGTCTGCGTGCATGAGTTCGTAGCTGCTCCACAGCACCTGATCTGAATGTGTCACAAGCAGCCATCATGACATTGACATTATGCTGCTGAAGCCAGTACGCAACCTGCAGAACCAACAATGGAAAAATCATTAGAAAAAACTCGAAGATTGTCGAGTATTCAATTTATTAATCCATAGAAAAAGAAGAACTAACCTTAGCAAGATTGGTAGATTTCCCAACTCCATTAACTCCAACGAAAACCACAACATATGGTTTTCCTTGCTCTTTGGCAGCATGAACATCCCTCATAATGTCAATGGAACGTTTAGGAGTTAAAATACGAACAAGGGCATCTTCCATAGCAGCCTGGTGGAATCAAAGTAAGAAAAAATAGACATTAGAAAAATAGGAGCTGTAATCTAAATCCCCCCCATGAAGAGGGTTGTTTAATTTTATCTGACTTAACAATTTCCCGAAAGGGGAAGCATGTTTGAGTACCTGAACTGTTGAAGAAACTCTAGTAAAAGAGGCTAGCCTTTTTCCTTCAAGACTTGCAGCTACTGATTCACAAAGTTTTTCAGCTATTTCCTCAGCCTGTTCAACAAATCATTTCAAACGGGACAAGGACAGTATTAAAACGGCAGTTTAACTTAGGCCAAGACATAAACAACGATAATGTGCAAATGAAATATACTAGCAAACCAGTTGACTAGTCACATTACATATCAATCTTCAAAATTCAGCAGGACAATTAGATACGATGTGAAAAAGTTACATACCACATTCTTGGTCATAAGCCTGTCCTTGAGAGCTTTAAGAGCTGGTTCTAGGTCAGACTTCTCCAGATTTGCTTTCCCCGCAATACTGTATCAGAATAGGTAGAAAATGTCGATTATTACAATAATATGTAAAGAAATATCCATAATAATCGATATGAGCGATGTTACCATGCAGAAAAGTCCTCACTGCAGCAAACTACAGCCATCTATGTTCAAAGATTCTAATTTTTACAAATATCGCATGAGCAAACATACTACACTTATCTATCAGAAAGCAGAAATGAACAACAATAATTGGCAGGAAATTATCAATTAATAAAAAATAGACTTTCAAATTAAAATCAGGATGCTGACACTCAATCTGAGTCACATTTTGTTCAAAAAGGAAGTGTATTTAGCAGAATTCAACTATAATACAAATTCCCAAATGTGCAATACGTTATTTTATAAAGTAAATAAGCCACGAAGTTTAGGGACAAGAATTTCCACTTTAACTTGACGTGCAAGACAATGAATATACCTCTTGAACATGGAGGAGAACCAGCCTTTCTTCTTTGTATCAACATTACTCGCCTTCCCAGTGTTCTCTTCTTCCTCTTCCTCACTTTCACTATCACTGCTCACTATCTCTTCTTTGTCCATCATACTCTCACCTTGATCTGCTGCCACAACTGTTATGTTCTGTTCCCCATTCTCACTCACTGGATCGGTGAAATCCAACTTTGACTCTTTCGGTGAATCATCCCAAACTCTATTCTTTTTAGTTATCTTCTTCTTCGGTTCTTCTTTGGGAACCTTGTTAGCAACACTTTCAGTTTTCTTTCCAGCTTTCGACCTCAGCTTCTGTAGCTTATTTACATCAAAAGCCCCGTTATTGGAAGCCCCGTTTTCTTTTCCATTACCATTAACCATCGCAGGCACTTCCCCTTTTCCTACATGACTATTTTTAAGATTTCCATTTTCTAGAGGGCGACCCTTTAACTTGTCGCCATCTGCACCATCGTTTCCAGATTCACCTCCACTCTTTTTTTTATTGCCTCCATCTGCAGTGCCGTTCTGCAGCTGTCCTTGCTTTCGACCAAGGTTGTTATTCACGGGCTTGCCCAACTGGTTCGATTTCTTCATTTCCTCTGCACGAGCCTCGGTTTCCTTCTTCAGCTGTTGAAATATATCATCGAAGTCGTCGTACCTAGTTCGCTTTGGATCGTAAATCTCCGAGAACTCTTGCTTAACCATAGAAAGCAGATCATCCACATACAAGAGATGGAGAATCCTTTGGTACACAGCAACAAATACGAGCCCAAGGTCATTGTGGAACGTCCACTTGAGAGTGTACGAAGCTCCTGGCGCATCGTAGTTATACGAGGCTGCACCCGATCTTTCCTCCAAAAGGCATGACCTAATCAAAGTATCGATCGGCGAGCCCCTAAGAGCTTTACTAAGCTCGTTGCATGTCCAGAGGATTAGACCTCCTCTTGTAAATATGAGTAATTGCTCCAACATCTCTACGGCCCAAAGAGTTTTATCTGCAAAGAGAACATCGAAATGAATATGTTTACCCAACAACAAGAATTCCCAGAAAAGTAAAACACATTTCTCATAATTCAAAATTTCTCAACACAATAAGACACCCATAAAAGATTTTATTTTTAATGATAACTTGAATCAGGATCGATTATATTTTTTATTTTAGATCTTGTTTTTCAATTACACATACACGATCCCAATAAAATACCGCTTCACATCAAATTCACCAAAAAATTAACAATCGATAGCTTAAAATTGGCACGAATCGAAATTCCATTGGGGCACCAAAAAATAATTAGCGGCTAATTACATCAAATTTCCACCAAATCAGCCCTCTAATACCTCGATCGGAACAGATCGAGAACAATTACTAATCAGAAATACACCCAATAAATCCCAACAATTCAGAAAACCAGATAAATTACACACACACACACACACACACAATCAAACATGCTTGATCTACTAGAAATGGAATTCTTACCTGAGAATTGAACACCTTTATTCTCTGTGGAAATTGAAAAAAGCCCTCGAGAAAGGGGAAGGAAAAAAGTGCGAAAGGAGAAAATGGAAAATTGAGGAAAATGAAAGAAACGGCTGATTTGCGGGTTGTTTATATATTCCGCAAGAGGGGGTTTGGTCAAACCTGGTGTGCGGTTTCGGTCGCCCGAACCGAACCGAGAAGATTTAAACCGTGAACCGAACCGGCGTTGACTTTCCTTTCTTAATCAGTCAATATATACTTTACCCTATTCAGTATTCATTGACTTGTGGTTGTGGGTAAAATTTGGAGTTGAAATTGGAAAAATATTTTTTAGTTCCGATGATTTCGATTTTTTGGAAAAATATTTTTTTCATTACGTAATTTAGAAGTTTTGATTTTTAAATTTTCTCGGAACGACACTGAAGTATATATTTATATTTCATTTTTCGATCCAATTTAGATTGTCAAAATATTCGCGAAATTTCAGTGTATTTTCGAAAAATAAACTTATAGTTATAATATAGGGTTAATGAGACAAAACCCCCTCATTAAGAAAAATATTAGAACTAACCACCCCTCATTATTTTTAATAAGTCAAACCCCCTCCATTAGTGTCATACCAATACTACCCTCACATTTTGTATTAGAAATCAGCCCCCCACCATCTCTACCTAAACTACGGGATTCATATCAAATATTCATGGGAAAAAAATCTCTCCCCCCTAAATCACGGCAATATGTAGCATATCATCCCAATAATTCGCTAAAATCTACCCATGATCTATGGCCTTCGGTGGAACCCTAGTTTTCTTCATTTGTTGGAAAAAAATTCACAAACGTGTGAATCGAGGAGAAGCATACACAAAAACATGGTGAAATCAAAAAAATCGAATAAAGGTAGGCTGCTGTGAAATCCGTTTTTCCTACAATATATAATTAGATTTCTCTGTTTTATGTCATAATACGACATATTTCCATTTTTTTTTTGTTTTCAATTTCAGCGACTATGAAGACTGCAAAAATGGTTGATTATTCAAAAATGGAGTTTGTAAACAAGCTTGTTTTTTAGATCTACATATCTATGGTCGCACTATTTGTTGACTCATAAATATTTGTTTCGTATGAAATTTGTTTTATCAGAGTCCACAACAAAGAAGAGATCATTGTTGTCGAAAAACTTAAAAAATTACGGTCATACACTCAGAGTTAACTATAAAATCGGATAGTTCACTATATTTTTTCCAGAGTCAACTATAAAAATTAGATAGTTAACTATAATTTTTACGATGTCAACTATAAAAAAATGGTAAACTATATTGTTGCCAGAGTCAACTATAAAATCGGATAGTTCACTATATTTTTTCCAGAGTCAACTATAAAAATTAGATAGTTAACTATAATTTTTACGATGACAACTATAAAAAATTGGTAGTTAACTATATTGTTGCCAGAGTTCTACAAAAATTGGATAGTCAACTACAATTGTTCCGATGTCAACTATAAAAAATTGGTAATCAACTATAGTTTTCCATTAATTCACTATATTATATTTCAATTTAAGATACTATGGTGTTATAAAATGAGATGAGATGTAGAAGAAAAGATAAAGTATTGAGAATATATAGAGAAACTAAAGAGAAAAAATGAAACAGACGAGAATAGAGGAAATGAGGGAAGAGAAAGGAGAGAGAGAGAAGAGAGAGAGAGGAGAGAGAAGAGAGAAAATTGTGGAAGATAGAGAATAGAAAGAAGATAGGAGAGAGGAGAGAGAAGAGAGGAAATTGTGGAAGAGAGAGAAGAGAGAGAATAGAGGAGAGAGGAGAGAGAAGAGAGGAAATTGTGGAAGAGAGAGAAGAGATGAGAGAGGAGAGAGAAGAAAAATAATAAATGACAGCACGTCAAAAAGGACGGTTGAGAAGAGAGGGGGGGAGAGAGAGAAAGAGTGGGAGAAGAAAGGACAAAATTGGAATAATAAACACGTGAGGGGGGTCTCACAATTCCTAATGTTAATTTTAGATTTCTTTACAAATGGTAAATATTAAAATGGGTCTGGACTCTATTATTTTGTGTATTGAGGGGGTTATCCCTCATTTTCCCTATAATATAACTATTTTTTTATATCATAGGTGACTAGAAATTTAGAAATTTCGAATTTCCGATGATTCTCATTCGAAAATCTCCAATTTATGGAACAATGCATTTCATTCTAATTTTTTGAATTCTATTGCCGATTTTTTTCAAAAAAAAAAAAAAATGGTGCCGACAGACAAAATGGGATCGTGTATCAAATCTTTTTAGTATAGCAGACGAATCACATCTGAAGGAGGGACAAATTTTTAAAATTGTTATCAAAATGTTTTTTTTTTAAATCTTAACAAACACAAATTTATTTATTGAAAAGAATAAAAATGATATGAAAATCGAACCAAACATTGCCTTTCTCTTTGGCAAACCAAAAATATTTGAATTTTAGGTGCCTCTAATTCATAGTTATCTAATTTGTTTTTCAATTTTGGATAAGGGAACCTCCAAAATGCCTAATAATATTTTTATTCCATTGTTGGTCCAACAAATTAAAACTCAACATAAATTAGGTGTATCTTTCATTATTTTTTAATATTATGATATTAAAAATCCTTCAACTAATCCTATTATTATTTTTTTATCCAAGAGTTGTAGATTTAACTAAATTAATTAAACAAATTTAATCTAAATAAACAAAAAAATTACTACTTTATTTGTTGTATTACAATTGAATTATTAACTATTATATAAATTATATACATAGTTATAGTTATGAATGTTTTACATTATTCCACTAAAAAATTACATTACAATGACTTAAAAGATAGCATAAAATAAGTTTTGATTTCAAACCCAATGTATGATAAATTATTCAAGCAAGTTAAATTTATTACTATAACTTCAAAAATCCTTCAATTCAAATTCAGATTTCCTTGTTAAATATATATATATATAATTTGAATTATTAAAAATCTGATAAAGTTGTCTCATCATTTAATGGAATTGATGGTTATTAGAAAAACAAGAAAAGAAAAAAAAAGTGCTTATCCAATATTAATGTGTGTGTGCGCATTTTGAGCACTTTGCTCCATAGCCAAGGCTTACTTTAACAAAGAGTCAAACCTCGCTAAAAAAATTCTTTTCTTTTATTGTAATGAAGGAACCTGTAGCAAATTTTCTTAACGTTTTTTTTCTCCTATAAAAGATGAACTATGAACGATAATCTTGAAAATATTCATCATATTTGAAAATATACATGTGATCCAAAGATGGACAAGAAATTGCTTGGAGTTGCATTACTTTTCATTTTCTTGGCTCGTGAGTCTTCTTCTTTTTTCACACACTAATGTTATTGAATTTTAATGTATTATTTATTGGTATGGATACATACACATATAATATGAGTTTATTGTAATTAGTACCCACATGTTATATCGAATTGCTAAAAATCTACCTGATGCTATTTAATTAAAAAAATCACCCCAGTGATTTAGTTTTTTAGCACTTAGTGCCCCTGTTTAATTTAGAGGGCTTTGTGCTAAAAAAAAATGAATTATCGGGGAGTTTTTGCCAATAATATAACATATGAAAGCTTCTTAGCAATTCGATATAACAAAGAGGTACTGATTGCAATAAACCCCATAAAATATTGGCCTGTTGTTATATCACACGAGAGACCTATAATTAGTTATATTTGAATTTTAGAGAGACACATACTATTTTTCCTCAATAAGAGCAACTCGAGTAATAAATATAAAAAATGAGTTATGAAATACGCATTTAATACTTGAGATAATATTTTAATATTTATTTAAATTCGTCTACTCCAATCATTGTTATCAGATCGATTATCAATTAGAATTTTTTTAGTGATTTTATTTGAAATTTCTACATGTTAATTAGTGATTGAATATTTAGGTTGTTAATATATATATATGGGTCTATAGACTCTACACATATGTATCGTAGGATAGACCTCGTCAAATTCACCTCGTGGTGTAGCATAGAACAGACCGAATCCACCCATTGGCTCCGTCTCCGTAAATTATATTTTATAAATATATCAAAGATAAATTTAAAGTATAAAAATATATAAATATTTATTATATTAAAAAAAAAAGAAGAAATTTTATTAAAATGTATATATAAGCAAAAAATAAATTTAATTCTAACTAATTCTCGATAAAAATATATATATATCTTTCTCTATATCTATCACTATCACAATCTCTCACACTCTCTCATATACATATATATACATAGATAGATATATACTAGATATATAGATATATATAGATATATATATATATATATATATATATATATATATATATATATATATATATATATATATATATATATATATATATATATATATATATATATATATATATATATATATATATATATATATATATATATATATATATATATATATATATATATATATATATATATATATATATATATATTAATTCTCTCTTCAATGTTAAATTAAAATTTTGACTTCTCAAAATTTGATAATTAAAAGTTATAATTTAACAAGTTGCTAATAGTTAACACTACATTGCTAGATTTTTGAATGTTTAAAAGATGTAAATTAAAAAAAAAAAATATAGTTTTGTATCTTGTCATCGGAGATGCCTTGCATTATTTTGCCAAATATTTGAACATGAACACGTAATTAATTACACATAATAGGGTAAATATATTAGCTCTATCTATATATATAAGTAATTTTGATCAACTTATTAAATTATTTTATAAGATATTTGAGAGCTTATTAAGACAATATCTAAGGACTGTGAGGTAAAGTAGCAATTATCATGATTTAAAGTTAATTCAATATACAATAGAACCTCGATATATTAATAACATCGCTTAAATAATAATTTTTCTGGTTCTGACTCGATGAAAACGTGCTAACTTATTAATTCGATAAGTTAATATTTCAATAAATTAATAAAATCTTGCTACTCCGGCCGACTGTATATATTAATTTATAGAGGTTTAGCTGTATATCTCAATTTTTTATTTCTTTACAAAAAAAAAGTACTAGTTTTCAATTATATGTGATGAGTAATTATACTAATTAATTATGTGTGTTATGGATGCATTGTGGATGCAATAAATACAAAACAGAAATGATGGGGGTTGAATCAAGGATTTGCAAACTAAGAAGCCAAGAGTTCAGAGGAAGATGCATACGCAGAAGCCACGTGTGCAGAATAATTTGCATGCATGAAGGTTTCCAAGACGGTAAATGTGAGCGAGGACGATGCTATTGCTTCAAGCCATGTGTTGCTATAATTGGTGGTGGCGGTGGCGGCGGCGGCGGCAGTGGCGGTGAAATGTCTCCACTTTGAATATAATAATTAATTCTCGTTAAATTATTAATTAATAACGACCATTTTAATTGCTTGTTCCTCCATATCTTTGCTACGTACAGTATAACCTCGATAATTAATACCCGATAAATTAATAACCTCGCTTAAATAATAAATTTTCCCGGTTCCGACTCGGGGACAACGTGCTAAATTAATAATTCGCTAAATTTATAAGATAATACACATTCGAAAAATTTAAGAAGCCCCATATAATATATAAATTAATAATGCATAAAAACAATTCTTAAAGTACATGGTATAGTACATATTTTATAGATCTATGAAACACTACAAGAAAAAGACCTTTCGACAATATACGACACGTGTTGTTAAAATATATAGACAACGCGTGCGTGAACGTGGTAGACCAACATGTTGTTAAAGCCTTAGAAATTTAACAACACGCTATGAGTGTTGCGACGCATGTTGCGGTTGAATAATAACAACAAGCACATTATGTTGTGATAAGCTATTCACAACATGTATTTGTATGTTGCAACAGACTTTATAACAAGCTACCATGGCGTCTTGCGGTAGAGTTTCAACAAGATTGGTTTGCACCTTGTAGAATAATTTATTATTAGAAAAAAAAATATTTTTACCTAATCGTAATCAAAATGTACATAAGTCTGCTTTCCAATAAATTTCGATCCAATACAATTTGAAATAAACGAGAATCCTTTAAACACAAAAATATCCAACAATATATAATCGCATATCATGTTGTCAAAAATAACAAAACTAATTTATTTTATGCCTAACTAATTCTCAAGTCTCCGATTGTCGAAAATCCTTAACGTTGCTTAACTGCACAACTCAATTAGGTTCTTGGATGCCAAGTGCTCCAATAGTTCACTAGAATAGGCTGAAAATAGAAACAACTATTGTTAACTGATGTCCAAATAAATTAAAATAAAATTAAGAAAAAAAATAAAGAAATCAAATACGAAAACATTCAGTTACTCGAAATCCACTACCTGTAAGCAATAAAAAAAAACAAAAAAAAGAAGGTATTTGGTTAAACTTGTACATACAATGTAATTATGCTATATAAATGAAATATGATGCTATAAAGCTGAACGCGTACAACATGAATCACCTGAAAACACATCATCCTATACACTCATAAGCTCACTATATGTGATTTTTCATAGCTATAGAAACCATAAAAATCTCACCAGATTAATCTTTTTTTCAGAGATTTCTTATCGAAATTAGAATACCTTGTCTAAGTTCATGTGCATCTGCAGATCCATCACTTGTCGCAGTTCTCCTTTAGGATTTGAACAACTTCTACCTTTAGTTTCTCATTCTCCATTTTCTGCTATAAGAAGAAGCAAATCAATACAAAAAAAAAGGAAAGCATTTTTTTGTGTGAATGCATATCAACAAATTACCTCCGGATTGATTGAATTGTACTCAAAACCAGAAGAAAATAATATAAATCAGACAAGAAATATAAATTAAAAAGAAGCTTCAAGATATCATCAAACTTATAAGCAAATACCTTCAGGGTCATCTGTTGCTTTATCTGCATTAATGAAATCCACAACACCTATCATTCAACGCAACTATAATATAATAAATACTAAAATGGAAGACATAGTGGTAATAGACATAACACTTGATAATGAAATAAATAATTTCCCAAGAAAAATGATAAAGGAAAAAGAATACACACCTGAATCTCAAAACCCTTCTCACCACAATGTGTCATCAGTTCCATTATGTTTTGTCATGATCAAAAGATATCGAAAGATCACTATGCTACATTTAAATTGTAGATTTAGTTACAAGTAGAATCATTAAGAAATATAAAAAACTAGATTAATTCATGCCTGGAGTACACTTATCCACAAAATTACAGATTCCAGAAGTAAAATACATAATATCCAACATATAGTGTCGACAATTAAAATTTTAAAATTAATGGATTTCCGAATCTCTAGATTAATTTCAATTCCTAAAATCAATTGACTCTTCAATCCAAATTAAAAAATATATAATTTGAATTTCAACAACAATTCAAAAATCTAAGCGATCCCATGAGGTAAAAATGAGAATTTACCCGAATTGAAGAGAGATTGGTTGTGGCGCGGTGTAGTAGTGAAGCTTGGTTCTTGATATGGTCTAATTTCTGCAAGAGATAGCCAGAAGATGTACTGGTGGTGGCGGCTTGTGCGGTGGTGGCGCAATGGTGACGTGGTGGTGGGTGGTCTTCGATAAGGTCGAAATTTAGGGAAAGAGATAGGCCGTGGTGCGATGCTGGTGGTGCAGGCGGTGGTCGAAATCCTAGAAAGAGAGATGCGAACGTGAGAGAAAAATAATCCTCCGAATAGGGAAAAGAGGGATCGACGTGGGTGAGAGAGGATAAACCGTAACGATGAAGGAAAATTATTAAAAAGAAAAATAAATATAAGAAAGGAAAAATAAAATCTTACCATATACTGTATCGTGCTTTTCTTAAATAATAACAAAATACTTTGGCATGTTGTTATATTTAATTTTATTTTACAAATTTAAATTACAATATTGACAACATACATATGGATCTTTTTATATCTTGTTATATTTAACCCATTCTACAAGCCGCGTACGTATCTTGTAGTATGTCGTTTTAACAACACACAAACTACGGATGTTGTAATATATATATTTTTCGGATTAATAACAACATGCATTTAGAGCATGTTGTTAAATATATAATATAACAACATGCTTTAGCCGAATGTTGTTAAATTAAAGTTGTTAAATGTCATTTTTCTTGTAGTGAAAGCTTAATACAATATCATTTAATTGTTGCTTGTTTCTTGTTGAAGTTCACATTACCATCAATCTCGTCCCTCACTTTTCTTAACATGGTTAGAACTTTCGGTATTGTTTTGTCGTAACTCAACATAAAATCGTTCTATACCATTGCTACTTTAAGAGATTCCGTTCGTGAAACGGGCTCTATAATGCATTGAACTAATGGTACAGTGAATAATATACACGTAAAAAAATAAAAATAAAATGTATTTATTGAAAATAATAATAAAAGTAATTTCATAAATTAATAATTTATTAATTAATGTATAAATTAATAATTATTAATTTATCGATATGTTAATATTTCGCTAAATTAATGAAATTTTGATGGTCTCAACAGTATTAATTTATAGAGGTTTAACTGTAGTCTCTAAAATAAACCAATAAACTTGTGACTTTTTCATGTCTACTTTGAGATCAATTACATAATTTATATTAGGGTTAATAAGATATAACCCCCTCATTAGAAAAAATATTAGGACTAACCACCTTACAATATTTTTAATGGGTTAAACCCCCTCAGAAATGTCAATTACTGAACTACCCCTATAATTTGTAATAGCAAAGACCCCCCACCGTTTTCCCCAAATACTGCATATCTTCAACCATATTCTTCAATATAATTTCTCCCCCATTTCCGTTGGTTTGCTGTATTTATGCCGAGAAATTCTCCCAAAAAACAAACTGCAATATATATCGGATATTTTCCCCTTTCAAACATTGCCCTAGTTTGCTACATCTTCAACGAAAAATAAAAACCAGAATACCATTATATTGTGCAATTCGTTCAGCAACACAGGTTGACAAACAATGGTGAAGAACGGCAAGAAGAAGACAGGTAGTTTGCTATATACCCATCTCTACCACATAATTTCTGTTTTTGACACCTTTTTCAGCGACTCCGAAGGACAAAATCGAGGTCTCCTACAGAAACGGTATACAGCGGTACGCGACGACCATATGCGACGGTTCGGATGTCTTCCATGGTTGATTACTCAAAAATGGAGTTTGTAAACACGATTGTTTTTTAGATCTACAGAACTATGGTCGCACTATTTCTTGACTCATAAATATTTGTTTTCCTATGAAATTTGTTTTATCAGAGTCCAAAACAAAGAAAAGATCAGTATAAAAATCGGTAGTTCACTATATTTTTCCCGAAGTCAACTATAAAAATCGGTAGTTCACTCAGAGTCAACTATAAAAATCAGTAGTTCACTATATTTTTCCCGAAGTCAACTTTAAAAATTAGATAGTCAACTATAATTTTTACGATGTCAACTATAAAAAATGGTAGTTAACTATATTTTTGCGAGAGTCAACTACAAAAAAATAGATAGTCAACTATAATTGTTCAAATGTCAACTATAAAAAAATTGGTAGTCAACTATAATTTTTTCCTTAATTTACCATATTATTTTTCAATTTAAGATACTATGATGTTATAAAATTGAATACTCACGATAAAGATCCCATCTTCATGAAAACATAAATTTCATAGAGTAGAAAATAAATTGATTTCAAGGACCAACAAATGAGATATAGAAGAAAATGTACAGTAGTGAGAAGAAATAGTGGAAAAAAATGAAACAGAAACAGACGAGAAAAGAGGAATTGAGGGAAGAGAAAGAAGAGAGAGAGAAGAGAGAGGGAGAAAAAGAAAAAAGAAAAAGATACAGGAAAAAAGAAAATTGGGGAGGAGAGAGAAGAGAGAGAAGATAAGAGAGAGTAGAGAGAAAAATAAGAAGAAATAGAGAGAGAGAGAGAGAGAGAGAGAGAGAGAGAGAGAGAGAGAGAGAGAGAGAAGAGAGAGGGAGAAAAAAGAAGAAAAGAAAAAGATACGGGAAAAGATGAAATTGGGGAGGTGAGAGAAGAGAGAGATGGGAATGAAGAGAGAGAAAATAGGAGAGAGGAGAGAGAAAAATAAGAAGAATAAAAGAACACGTTAAAAATTGAGGAAAATAAGGAAGAGATAGAAATTAATGGAGATATAAAATGACGGATATGAGAAAAATAAGGAGAAGAGAGAGGAAGTTGGAGAAAATATGGAAAAAAGAGCATAACGGGCATTAACATAAGCTTAGGGGGGTCACACAATTTAGAAAATATTAAATAAATTTGTCTACAAATGGTTAATTATAAATTGGGCATGTACTATATTATTTTACCTAATGAGGGGGTTATCCCTCATTTTCCCTTTATATTATAGGGGCCATTTGATATACACCCCTAAAATGGAAAATATATAGGGATAAGTCCACCGCTAAAATTCTTTCTTTGAGATACACCCCTGGAGGGGCAAAAATACTATTAAGCCCTTATTTGTAAATTTTAACAAACTACATTCAGCTTTTCCAACTGCATTCAACATTATTGCTAACTGCACTCCATATTTTTAGACCTGCATTTATCATTTTTTCATATTTTTTAATAAAAAATTATAAATTTTTATTTTATTATTATTTTTTTTATACGTACCATCTTTTTGTATTTTTTTATTTTTTTTATTTTTAATTTTTAAATTATTTTTAATTTTTTTTTAATTTTGTTTTTTTAATTTTTTTTAATTTTTTTAATTTTATTAATTTTTTTTAATTTTTTTTTAATTTGTTTTTTTTAATTTTTTTTTTAAAATTTTTAACTTACTGTACTGAAATTGACTACACATGACTATAGTATACCACAGTCATGTATAGTTATATATAGCCATGTACTGTTTTTTTACCCCAAAGTTATGGTCGATCGATTATAAAAACCGTTGATTATATATATAAAAAAATCATCTATACCAATAAAAAAATTCAAAATTTGATTCTTGATATTATAAATAATTTAATGCCTAACAAAAAAGTGAAAAAAAAACACAATCATCAAGATCACTATACATCAGAAAAACCACATAGCTTGTATATAAATATATATATAACTACATGGAACTATACATAACTACAGTTATCTATACGACTAAATTTGACTCAAATCGCACTTGTCAACACGAGAACCGCTTGTTTTGAACAACGAACACAATCCACTCCGCAAAAACTTACTACATAGTAGTTCAAACACCAAGACCTGTGAAAACGAAAAAGAGTTAAACAAACAATGAATTTTGCTTCAAATTTAAATGTGCACACACGCACTATTACCTACTGGTATACATAGATACTCCCCAATAACTCATACATGACTACATAGTTTATATATAACTATACATTACTACATGTGACTACACCATATATTACTGTATGTTACTACACATGACTATATATGACTACATGTATATGACCACATGTGACTATATACATGTATGTGACTTTATATGTCCCTTCAAGTACCTGACTTTGTTCTCCAGGCGATACGAGACAACTTATATTATCAAAATCAAATTACAAACAGAGTATGCTAGTCATTATTCTTCGTATAACCAAAGGTCAAAGATCAAAGCAAGTTGAAGTGGAACACCATAGATAAAATAATAGTTAAAACACACGTAAAGTAGTCACCTATTTCATTCTCGATAAATAAAATATCAATATCATATTACTAACAAAATATTCTCATCACGAATCTACATATACTCCCAAGTATAAAAACAAAAGTAAACAAATCATTTCAGGACCAATAAACAGTGATTCAATATATTAAGAAACAGATTAAAATTCATTACCGTTTCTATGCCTTCAATGGATGAACAGTCAGTTTTGTCGCACCACCACCAGGAACAAGTTTCGAGTTTTTTTTTATTATATTTCTTGCCACAACAATCGCGTTTTATGTACAAGTCGACTCCTAAAATTAAACTCACAGCTTCACAAAAAAAAAAAAAAAAAAAAATTAAAACCAAAACTCAAAAAATAACTGCAAAATTCGATGATGGCTGTACAAAAAATACTTTGGTGAACTCAAAAAATACCTGCAAAATTTGAATTACATTACATGAAAAATACAAAAAAACAATGAAAAACACTTTATTGATAAATTTACTTTGGTGAACTATAGTCACATGTAGTTATGTCTTCTTGTTACTGCATATGACTTGATATGACTATGTAGTCAACTATAGTCACATGTAGTTATGTTCATCTTGTTACTATATGTAACTATATATGACTACACGTACATGACCTGTTGGGTATCCGCCCGGAAAAGACAAACCACACAAAATCAAAATACTCATATTTTATTAGAAACAATTAAAATATAATATAATATAATAAATCAACAAAATCAACTAATTAATTATTAAATCCAATGACAGCAATTTCCGAAGACATCAATCAGCAATCAGACAATTCAATAACCAACAATTAATAATTATAGCAAAATGCAACAGTTCAATATTTTATGAATAAAATATTAATGCTTAATTAACCTAGAATATAATATAATTTATTTAATGCTGGAAAAATGAATAGGCTAAGGGTAAGGAACAGAACCAAGCAATTCACACAGAATTGCGAACGATAAATCTCCGACGGTTGCTCCGGCGGTCGTCGATTTTCCGGCTCAGCCCTCAATCTCCGAGTCCTCGTCCAAGATCCAAGTGAGGCCTCCAACACTCACGGCAGCCACACACACGCACACACACAGTGTACTCCAATGGAAAAAC